AAGATTGAACCTTATACAGTTTTTGGCAATAATCTTGAATCTGATTTTCGAAAAGATAGAATGTAAACCACATGTTTAATGTATTGGGATGGATTGATTTGAATCATAGACGTAGAAATCGATCAACTTTTGTTTTTATCATTGGGATTGATTGATTTGAATCAGAGGCTTCATTAGTGTAATGTATACTTGTGTATGTCTATATATGTATTTGAATGTAAGTGACATGCATGAAATAGCAGATAAGGCAGAATTATATTTGAATTAATTCACAGATGAGAGCCTTGCTGAAACAATTTGAGCAGATTTAACAATTTACTTACAAAGATTTCTCAATTTGAACCAATTTAACTAAAAGTATTTTCAACATTTTCTTAAAAAACTTTAAAATTTCAAAGATGTGTGAAATATATTGGACTTTTAACACGTTATTTTTATAATTATTAATTTTCCTCATTTGAATCGATATTCATAAAAATAAAAACCTAATTCTAAACCTAAACCTAAACCTATTTCTTCAAAACCAAAGAAGCCGCAGCCCCCCTTAAAGGCTGATCTGTTTTCTGTTTTCGGAAACAAAGCCGCCGTCCCCTGGGGTCCTTAGTGGTTGCTCTCCCGAAACAAAGCCAAGGAACCCCTACCATTTCATCGTTTTGTCTTCTCCCCTACACTTGCAGCAGCTCCTCCCTCATCACAAACTCCCCTCTTCCTCTAGTGTTCTTTGCCAAAGAAAACCATAGTAGCCTCCTTTTTCCTTGGCCAAATCAGTCGCCTTCCTCCTCATTTCCTTTTCCTAGTTGGTCGCAAGACAGTTCCTCACTCTCCATCCCAGTTGTTCCCTTCCATCACCAACCACTCCCCACGGCACCAGCACAGCACAGAACCGTTTTCCCCGTCTCCATCTACCAGCCTTTTAGAGGCAGTCGGACAATAGCAGCAAGGCCAACCACCGCTGCCACCAACAGGAGTGAAGACCATCCAACAGCACACCCATAGAGCCATCAGCGCCGCCCACACACGGCAGCACTCACACCTAGGAAACACCCCCCTTCTCCTCCATACCGAAGCCTCCAGTCACTAGCGGATCCGCCTGCATCCACCGCGACCCGCCTTCGCCAGATCTGCCATCTGAAGAAGGAAAAAGCAGCAAACCAGGAAGAAAGAAAAAAACTAAAATCAAGTGTGTTGTTGCGATTTTTGGTTTGCGATTTTTGTTTGTTGTTGCAGGTGATTGTGTTCCTCACAACCAGTAAAGAAAGGAAGAGGAGAAGAAGCTGAGCTAGATCATCCACCTTTGGTTTTTTTTCGTGACGGCGCGTGAATTCACATGCCGTCAATGGTGGTGGTGCATGGAAAAGAAACGCCACCACAGTGCATGCAGTTTCAGAAGGCATCCCCAGCACTGTTATGGATATTTGGAGTTTATTTTATAATTTTTTATTGTTTAATTTGTTTGAATTGTTTAATGTGTTGTTTTGATTTATTTTAATTTTTTAGTGATTTTGTAACATGTAAACGTGGTTGTGGGAGAAGAACATAATGAGAAGTGACGTGTGTGTTTGTAATTTTTTTATGTATGTTTTAGAATTATAAAAAAAACAAAAAAGCTGAAAAAGAAAAAAAAATTAAATGTTTCGTTTTTGTTGCAAATGGTTGAGGCAAACGAACTATCATTCACTTTATTATACTAGAAAAAATAAAATAAAATGCCTATACACGGGCCTAGTTTTTGGCCTAGCAGTGCCTAGCTTTATTTTTTTATATTAATATATTTTTTTGTGAATTATAAATAATTTTTAAATTTATATTTTAATTAATATTCTTTCTTTATAATTTCATTAGGTTTTTTAACCACTCATTGAATAGCAAATCTTTTTTAATTATATTGGTTGTGTTTAAGTTTTTTTTTTAATTAGTATAATTAGTCTTTAATTTTTTAATATTTATATAAATTAAATATTTATTTTTCACAATATTTTTAATATTTGTAACTTTGAATATTATATTTTTTTTTTATTTTATTCAATACATTTTGTTTGTGTCAATCTTTATTTCAAATTAATTTTCATAAATAAATTCATTAAACATAACTAGTATGTTAAAATATTAAATATCTTAATATATATTAGTATCTTAATATTTTCAAATATCTTTTTATTTATCATTAATTACTTTTTATTTATTTATTTACATAATGGTTTGTGATTTATTTAATTGAATGCATGCAAAAAAAATTTAATTTACATTTATATTTTTTTTATGTAAAAAAATTCAAAATGTGTTGAAAAATTCTAAATATTCAGGTTTTTTCATCATGTGTTGGTGTTTTTAATTTGATATTTATTCTTATGATTTTTTTTCCTTAACTATTTTATACAAGTTTTATTGTTTTTAATTTTACATTTTAATTTAAATTGATAGTGTATTTTTTTTTTCAATTTTGGTCTAATTCATTAGTATTTTTTGCATGTATGTCTCAAGATCAGGCGGGTGGAGAACTAAGTCTGAGATTGCAGCAATGAGTGCGAAAGAGAGGAGCACTTAACCCCTTCGTGAGAATATCAGCAAACTGTTCCTGTGAGGAAACAAATTGAACTGACAATTGCTTCTGGGAAACTCATTCACGAACAAAATGCACATCGACCTCAATGTGTTTGGTTCGTTGATGTTGAACAGGATTAAACGATAGAGCAATGACAGAGAGATTATCACAGAAAAGAACAGGATTATGAGGTAATGAAACATGCAGAAAGGCTAATAACTGCTTGAGCCAATCCACTTCAGCGGTAGTAAAGGATAAGGCTCGATTTTCAGCCTCTGTTGATGATCTGGACACAGTTTATTGCTTTTTGGAAGACCATGATATAGGATTGTCGCCCAAAAAGATTACCAAGCCAGTAGTGGAGCGTCAGTCATTAGGATCCCCTGCCCAGTTAGCATCACTAAACGCCTTGAGCTGCAAATCTCCTTTAGTGTAAGAAATACCAACATGCAATGTGCCTTTATGGTAGCGTAAAATTCGTTTCACAACAGTGAAATGAGACACCATTGGATTCTACATAAATTGACAGACTTGATGCACAGAGAACGCAATGTCAGGTCGTGTGAAGGTCAAGTATTGCAGAGCCCCTAACGATATACTGTAGGATTAGGATACGGTGCCCCATCTTCTTGTGATATACCGTAGGATTAGGATACGGTGCCCTATCTTCTTTAAGTAGGCGATGATGAGGAAGACATGGAGTATCACATGGTTTAGCATCAACCATCTCAGATTTAAGCAGCAAATCCTCAACATATTTAGATTGTGAAAGAAACAAGCCAGTAGAGATGTGAGTGATCTGTATCCTCAAGAAAAAATGAAGAGAGCCTAAATCTGTGATATCAAATTTAGTGGAGAGAGCTTGGATAACCTGCAGAATGGCAACAGATGCACTTCCTATGAGGATAATATCATCTACATACAGGAGCAGGACCACAATCTGACAAACAAGGATGAATCAGAATAAGTTGTGGCAAACCCCAAGGAAGGCAGAAATTGAGTAAAACGTGTATTCCAGGCCCTAGGTGCCTGTTTTAATCCATAGAGGGATTTATGCAGTTTGCACACATGATGAGGATGCAATGAATCTTCAAAACCAGGAGGCTGGGACATGTAGACCTCTTCTTGAAGAATGTCATGCAGGAATGCATTTTTTACGTCTAATTGTCTGAGAGGCCAATTGAAATGAGCAGCCAGGGAAAGAATTAGTCGAATGGTGGCAGGTTTCACCACAGGACTAAAGGTGTCCCCATAATCCAAGCCAGGTTCCTGACTAAACCCTTTAGCAACCAACCGTGCTTTGTGTCTAGCAATCGAACCATCCGAATGATGTTTGATCTTGAAAATCCACTTGCACCCCACCAAGTTCCTCTTTGCTGGTAATGGAACAAGACTCCAGGTGCCTTGAGTATGTAATGCAGTAATTTCATCTTGCATGGCCTGTAACCACACAGGAGCTTTGATGTCAGATTTGTAAGTTGCTGGCTCTATTAAAGACATATCAACCATGCTATAATCTTGAATGCTAGCTAAGAAAGCCTTCTGTTTAGTAATGCCACTTTTGCTTCTAGTTTGCATGGGATGCAAATTGAGAGAAGCAATGGACATAACCACTTGCAAGTTGTTAGGATTAAAAGTAGTAGAACTGATACTCATATCAAACGCCATATGAGGAGGAGAAGAAGCTTGAATGGAAGCAGTAATGGAATGAGAACTAGGAGAGACTGTAGATACACCAGGTGTATGGTGGGAAGGAGAAACAGGACTTGAAGTAATAACTATGTTCTCGGTATTAACAAGAAGCACAGGACATGTGGAGGAAGTAGAGGATGGTGGGGACTGAGTTGTGAGCGAGGATGATGAGAATTCAGGATATGGAAATTGTGTTTCATCAAATATAACATGTCTTGAAACATACAATCGCAGAGTAGGCACATGATAGCACAAATAACCTTTGTATTTTATGCCATAACCAAGAAACACACATTTGGAAGTTGTAGGCTGCAGTTTGTTATGATTATAAGGACGAAGAAGAGGAAAACATGCGCATCCAAATATCCTAAGGTGATTAAGCTCTGGAGAAGACCCAAATAACATCTCAAAAGGAGATTTGTGAAGAAGGACAGGAGTTGGCATACGGTTGATGAGATATGTAGCTGTTAAACATGCATAAAAACAAAATTAAATTGGTAGTTTGGCTGTGTGCAATAGAGTGATTGTGGTTTCCATAACATGTCTATGTTTCCTCTCAGCTACCCCATTTTGTTCAGGGGTGTGTGAACAAGAGAGGTGATGAGTAATGCCTTTATCAAGAAGAAATTGTTGTAAACGATTGCAGGTATATTCTCCCCTTCCATCAGACTGCAAAATTTTAACAGTAGCAGAATATTGTGTAATAAGAAGGTTATAGAACGCAGCAAATGTAGAGAATAAATCAAACTTATTGACTAGGGGAAACAACCAGCAAAAACATGTACATTCATCAACAAAGATAGTATAATATCTATAACCATCCACTGAGACACATGGTGCAGGTCCCTACAAATCAGTATGGATAGTAGCAAAGGGAGAATTGAATTTGTGATGATGTTGAGGAAAGGGTAATTTCCTAACTTTCCCTACAAGACAGGGATGGCACATCATAGGGGAAGAAGTTTTGGGAACATGAATATAAGCTTTATTTAGCATGAGGGAGACTACAGAATTTGTGGGATGTCCTAACCTATGGTGCCATAGATTGGACTGAACAAGTTGGCCAAGAAATGCCTGAGCTGGAGAAGGCTGAGTGAAAGATGAGGATGAAGATGCATGGATAGGATACAGGCCATTACTGCACAAGCCTCTGTAAAGAATCCTCCTTGTGGCTTTTTCCTGAATCCAAAAGCAATATGCATAAAAAAAAAGCCAGCAATTATTATCAAGGCAGAGCCAATGGACTGACAATAGATTCTGAGTTAATTGAGGAACAAGTAACACAGAGTCCAACTTGAATGAAGACATAGAAGAATTGATGATAGACTAACCAACATGAGACACTGTCAAACCTTCACCATTAACAGTATGAATTGTGTCAGTTGTTGGATATGGTGAGGTCAATGTCAGATTATTCAAATCAGCTGTCATATGATTTGTTGCACCAGAATCAGTAAGCCATACTTGAGATGATCCAGAAGAATTGGATGCTGAAGGTGCAGGGTGGAGCATAGTGTGCATGACTTGAATGGTAGGCTGTGAGTCTGGAAACTGAGCAGATGAGAATGAGGGATGAGGTGAAGGAACTCGATATGAGGATTGTTGCATAGTTGGTGATTGTGTAGGATAAGACTGCTGAGAGGAATAAGCCTAGAATGCATGCCAATATAGTTTGGTCCTTTGTCATTATAGAAGCAAAACCAGGTAGTGTGATTAAGGCCGCCACAAATATGACATTTTGGTTTTTGATAAGAAGAAGCATCACAAAACGGAGCAGTATGGCCCTCAGTATTGCATAATTGGTAGATGTGCATCATAGATGCAGAGTGACTGTGAAACTGTTGATTAGGGGAAGGTCCAAGAACTCCAGGATTAGAGTGTGGGCGTTCATGTGTTATAGAAGAAAACACTAGTTTAGAGTGAAAGTGTCTGGTTCCTTGATTAAACCGACCTCTACCAGTGTTTCTGTTCCCACTATAAGGTTTAAATCCTTTATTAATAGTCAAAGATGAGCTATGATTCATAGGAAAACCTGTAGTTGCAGCCATTGCTGTCAATAAAGGAGAATGAGCTGATGCTTCTACAATCACTTCCTCTACAAGCAACTATGAGTGAAACTCATGTAGGGAAATCACACTCTCACGTCCCCTTATTGTTAGGCTATTCAAGCATTCAAACACACATCAATTTACGTGGTTCGACAACTTGCCTACTCCACGGAGCTTCTGGTTTGTATTAATCAAGCTCAAAAGCAATACAAACAACAAAACAAGGAGGAGGAGAAAAACTTTTCTACTCAACTCAACTCTCACTTTAAGCTCTCTCTATGTTTCTCTCTATTTCATGGTTATCAGTTATCAATGGCACTCTCTATTTATAGCTGATGTGGGAGACAATCTTCTTCCTTTGTTCAACAATGGTGGGCAACATTTTCTTTGGTTAGGCACCCACCATTTGACTCTTACCATGTCAAGCATGGCTGCCACCAACCATGGCTGCCACCGACCATTAGTGTCCACACATAACAATCTCCCACTTGGACACAAATGGCGTTAGGTTTGTCTTTTTAATCTTGAAGACCAACTGAAGCTTTACACAGCTTCAGTTTATCGAGAGTTACTCCTTTGGTTAACATGTCAGCTGGATTCTTGCTTCCACAGATCTTTTCAAGTAACAGTTGTTCATCGTCGAGCAATTGTCGGATGAAGTGATATTTGATCTATATGTGCTTTGTTCTGGAGTGAAATGCTGGATTCTTGGCAAGGAAGATTGCACTCTGACTGTCACTATACAAAGTACCCTTTCCATGCATTTCCATCGGCCAAATAGACTACCCCGTAATTTCTAACAGTATAGTTTTGCATCATTTCATGGTGTGGAGTACAGTGAAATGAAACTCCAGAATTAAGAACCCAATCATCAATAGGACTGTGTACAGCAAGAATCAAAGCATCTCGTACCTCGTCTATAGTGGCATTTACAGAATCAACTTCAGGTCTCTTCGGTTTTGTGCAACTCCTCATGAAATGACCAGGTTTGCCACAATTCCAACATTTACTGAGAACCTTCTTGACATACTCTATCTGTGAAAGCTTTAGCATGCCTTTGTCTTTATCTCTGATGATTCTTATGCCAAGTATTTGTTTAGCAGTTCTTAGATCCTTCATTTCAAGCTATTTTGGCAACTGTTGTTTCAACTTGTCAATCTCTTCCATGCTGGATCCTGCAATCAACATATCATCCACATACAACAGTAAAATGATATAGGAGTTGTCAAAATGTTTAACATAGCAACTGAGTATTTGAGATTGAATGATAATGACTTCAAATCAAGTTTTTGATGGTTGAACACATGAAGATATAGACTCAATTGATCGTGGTGGCAACTCTTCAATTTGTGTCTCAGAACAACTCTGATTATTGTAAGCTTCACAACTGGAGAAAATATCTCAGAGTAGTCAATCAAAACTTTCTCGTTGAAGATCACGTTCCTGCTTCTGATAATCTTCCTGTTTTGATCATCCCAGAACCGAAATCCAAATTCTTCATCTCCATAGCCAATAAAGAAACATTTCTTTGATTTGGCATCCAGCTTGTTGCGAGCATCAGAGTCTACATGCACATAGGAAACACACCCAAAGACTTTTAGGTGAGCAAGCTGTACTTCTTTTCCTCTCCAGACTTCCTCGGGCAGTCTGAACTCCAAAGGTACTGATGGTCCACGGTTGATCAAGTAAACTGCAGTATGAACTGCATCAGCCCAGAATGTTTGAGGTAGCCCAGAATGCAACCTCATGCTTCTAGCTCGTTCATTGATGGTCCGGTTCATCCGTTCAGCAATACCATTCTGTTGTGGTGTGCCTGGAACTGTCTTTTCCATTCTGATACCGTTGACAGCGCAATACTCCTTGAAACCTCCATCAATGTATTCTCCTCCATTATCAGATCGTAAGCATTTCAGCTTCAAACCTGATTCAGTCTCAACCATAGCCTTCCATTTCTTGAATGTGTCAAACACATCAGATTTATTTTTCAGAAAGTAGACCCATACCTTTCTGCTAAAGTCATCAATAAAAGTGACATAGTACCGAGAACCGCCAAGAGATGCTACTGGAGCTGGTCCCCATAAATCTGTGTGCACCAGTTCTAGTTTTCTTGGTCTTAAGGTCCTGCCAACCTTTAAGAAACTGAGCTTCTTCTGTTTTCCGAGAACACAGCTTTCACAAATGTCTAGATCAACATTTTTTAATTCTGGCAGCTTTCCCTTTGACTGAAGTATCTTCATCCCCTTTTGACTCATATGGCCGAGTCTGCAATGCCATAGCTGTGCCTGATTTTCTGCTTCAGTAGAGGCAATTATATCTGCTGATCTTGTGGTCATATACAGGGTGCCGGTTTTCTTTCCACGAGCCAAAACCATTGCTCCCTTTGATACCTTCCACATTCCTCCAGAGAAAAGGATTGAATGGCCACTATCATCAAGTTGTCCGACCGAGATCAACTTCTTCTTTAGTTCAGGAACATGCCTTACATTTTGCAAGTTCCATGTAGATCCATTCATTGTCTTGATTTGCACATCTCCTATACCCACAATCTCCAATGGTTGTCCATCGGCCAGATAGACTACCCCATAATTTCCAGCAGTGTAATTTTGCATCATTTCATGGTGTGGAGTACAGTGAAATGAAGCTCCAGAATCAAGAACCCAATCATCAATAGGACTATGTACAGCAAGGATCAAAGCATCTTGTACCTCGTTTGTAGTGGCATTTACAGAATCAGCTTCAGGTTTCTTTGGTTTTGTGCAACTCCTCATAAAATGGCCAGGTTTGCCACAATTCCAACATTCAACCTGCTTCCTGGGTCCAAACTTGCTTTTGCTTCTGTACCTGGATTTTGATCTGCCTCTGGATAAGCCTCTGTCTTGTCTCCTTCCTCGAGTGTTGATGTTGAAAGCTGAACCTGAACTTGAGCTTTCACCCGAGTCTTTTCTTCGTACTTCTTCAGCTAAAATCAGGTCTCGGATATCATCATATTTTAATTTGGATTTTCTGACTGAGTTGCTTACTGTTGTTCTCATACCTTCCCAACTGCTTGGAAGTGAAGCTAGCAAAATAAGTGCTCGGATCTCATCATCAAACTCAATTTCAACGGATGACAATTGATTTGTGATGGTGTTGAAATTATTAAGATGCTGTGTAACAGAGGTGCTTTCTGTCATCTTCAGGTTGAACAGCTTCTTCATCAAGTGCACTTTGTTATTTGCTGATGGCTTCTCATACATCCCAGACAAGGCTTCCATCAATCTTGCTGTGGATTTCTCTTTTGTAACATTATGAGCAACTCTTCTTGACAATGAAATTCGGATAATACCCAAAACTTGTCTATCAAGAATTTGCCAATCTTCTTCTGACATGTTTTCTGGTTTGCTCCCCAACAGAGGAAGATGAAGTTTCTTCCCATATAGATAGTCTTCAATTTGCATTTTCCAATATCCAAAATCAGTTCCATCAAATTTTTCAATTCTCGCAGCCTTTATTTCATCAGCCATATTTAATTTTTCTCGAATTCGAATATGCAAAATCTGACCTTACAGACGTGTCTGGAATGGCAAAAAATGTTGGAATAGTCGCTGCACCACACCGGGTCAAAACCCAGGATGCTGACGTGTCAGCCACGCAGGTAATGTGGGGTCCACAAAATCTGACGTGGATGTTCCACGTGGATTTTTCACAGACGTGGCTAAGCTGACGTGGCTGATGACGTGTCAGGTGACGTGGTAGTTGACTGGTCAGACTACTGATGTGTCAGGTTACGTGGCTGATGACTGTGCAGGACTGCTGACGTGGCTGCTGACGTGGCAAGTCAATTTGCAAGAAACTGGTGAGGAAGATGCGTGACGCACGTGTAGGCGCGTCTGTGACCATGGACAGTTCTGGTGGTGGCGCGTGTAGGCACGTGCGGGCATGCAGGACGTTGGTTTTTCGCCGGGTTTTCACCAGTGGATTCCTCTCGTCGTCCTCTTCACAGTGGTATGTTCAAAAACACGTTTTGAGAACTTTGATTTTTGAGTTTGGATCAAACACCCTCTTTTTCAAGAACTTTCAAGAACCTGGCTCTGATACTAGTTGTTAGGCCATTCAAGCATTCAAACACACATCAATTTACGTGGTTCGGCAACTTGCCTACTCCACGGAGCTACTGGTTTGTATTAATCAAGCTCAAAAGCAATACAAACAACAAAACAAGGAGGAGGAGAAAACTTCTCTACTCAACTCAACTCTCACCCTTAGCTCTCTCTCTGTGTTTCTCTCTATCTCGTG